TTCAGGCGGGCTCCTGATTTCAACAATTTCTTAAAGATATAACACCTCTATTTTTCAGACGGGACCCTGACTTCAACTATAATTTGAGATATAACACTTCTATTCTTCAGGCGGGATCCTGACTTCGACTGCAACTTAAAGATATAACACCTCTATTCTCCAGGCGGGCTCCTAACTTCACTACTTCCCAAAACATAATACCTCCATTCTACAGGCGGGCTCCTGACTTCAACTACAACTTGAGAATATAACAACATCTATTTTCCAGGCGGGTTCCTGACTTCAATAAACAATTTAAAGATAATACCTCCATTCTCCAGACGGGCTCCTGACTTCAATAAACTTTAAAATGTAACACCTCCGTTCTTCATGCGGGCTCCTGACTTCAATAAACTATAAAATATAACACCTCCGTTCTTCAGGCAGGCTCCTGACTTTAACAACTTCTTAAAATTATAACACCTCCGTTCTCTAGGCGGGCTCCTGACTTCAATAAACTTTAAAATATAACAACTTTATTCTCCAGGCGGGTTCCTGACTTCATCAACTTAAAATTTAACAACCTCCATTATACAAGCGGGCTCCTGACTTCTTCAACTTAAAATATAACAACCTCCATTGCACAGGCGGGCTCCTGACTTCTTGAACTTAAAACATAACAACCTTCGTTCTACAGGCGGGCTCCTGACTCCTTTATCTTAAAATTTAACAACCTCCATTCTATAGGCGGGCTCCTGACTTCTTCAACTTCAAATATAACAATCTCCATTCTACAGGCGGGCTCCTGACCTCTTCAACTTAAAACATAACAACCTCCGTTCTACAGGCGGCCTCCTAACTTCGACTTGAAATATAACAACCTCTGTTCTACAGGCGGGCTCCTGACTTCAACTACAACTCAAAATGTAATACCTCCATTCTCCAGGCGGGCTCCTAACTTCAACAGCAACTTGAAATTTAACAACCTCCATTCTACATGGGGGCTCCTGACTTCTTCAACTTCAAATATAACAACCTTCGTTCTACAAGCAGGCTCCTGACTTCAACAAC